CTCATACTTCTTGATTACTACTAGGTGACGACTCAAAAGGCTACTTTATACAACCGACGGTGATTCTGACCAAAGACCCACATATGGTGACGATGGTCGAGGAGATCTTTGGGCCCGTTTTGACGGTGAGTGAACACACCAAGTGACTAACTTCCAATCTTTCTCAACCGTGTTCACCGTGTATAGGTTTATGTTTTCGAAGATGACGACTACGAGAAAACGTTGGAACTGGTCGATACATCAACTGGATATGGTCTCACCGGTTCAATGTACGTGTAATTCTCTATCACCTTATCTGAGCTAATGAACACAAATCACGCCAGCTTCGCATCGGAGCGTAAAGCTCTCATCACCGCGACCAATACCCTTCGGAACGCAGCCGGAAACGTCTACTACAACGAAAAATGCACAGGTGCCATCGTTGGTCAGCAGCCGTTTGGTGGTGCACGCGCGAGTGGAACGAATGATAAAGCTGGAAGTATAAGCATCTTCTATAGGTTCGTTAGTGCGAGGAGTATCAAGGAGAATTTCGTCGGACTGGAAGATTTCCATTATCCTTCGAACTTGGTTTAGGTGAAAGGTACAGAATTTGTAAAGAAGCTCAAAAATTGTTTTTTGGTATCACTGTGCAAGGGGTACACGAATCATGCTGACTTGAGACTAATCTCCAGCCGCTGCCTGACGGGCTCAGTGAGCTTCTATTCAATTGAGTGACAACTTCCAATTCGTTCACACGAGGCACCATGCCCAAGCATTGGATTTACAGGAAAGTGTTCTACATATCAGTGCCAGTCACCCTCCGTTACTACAACTATGCACCAAACTTCAAGCTTCCAAACCGCAACCGCAACAGTAGAAGGTTTCGAATTCAGTCAGCTTAAGGAAGAGCACGAATGAGCCTATGTAACCAATATAAATATTAAAGCAGTAAAAAAGACCTTTCAGCTTCGGATTTGTTGTGTAGATTACTTTGTCTCCACTATCGCGAATAGTGCCCATTAGATTATCAATGTCGAGCAATCCGGCACAAAGGGATGACAGGGACTGGGACTTTCTGCGCCAAATGTAAAAGAAACCCTCCTCGTATGTGATGCTAATTGTGTGTGACCAACGCCTGCAGCGTATTGGAGAAATCCATGAAATTCTCCCTTTACTTCGATTTCAATATCCGAAATGCCTAGTTTTTGTCTGGCGCGCTCGTGACCTAGGAAATTCTTTAATGCTATTTCGGACTGAGCAACCTCATCCTCTGTCGCTGTCCTAACGTCCGTGTCCTTTCGGTAGTAGACCTCGAGACTCTTGCTTCTGGTGTGTATCTAGGGTACCACAAGGGAAGGAATACGCCTTTCGGCGTCTGCGGTGTCCAGAGCGTTAGCATAAGCTCGGGCAGTGTCCATCTGGATTTAGGTGCAAAGATTCAGATTCAATGTCTCCCTTCATAGAACATTGATCATATCACTCACAGGTCGAGGAGCTGCACCTGTGATGGAAGCAAGTCCGAAAATGAACAAGGTCGCTGAAAGGCGCATGACAAGTTTACTGATCTAGGGATCGTTTTACAGTTGGTGAATAATGCTTCAATCTTTCGACCAGCAAGAGATTGAGCGGAAGAAAGTTCACTAACGAATGCGAGGGGAAGAAAGAAGGGATAGTTGCAAAGGGCCTCGCAGGCCAAGTTTTAACGTGCAGCCGGTTACTGCCAGGGTGGCGGGCTGTGTCTGGGCAGAAATTTCTCCATCATAATATGATGGGCTAAAATCAGGATTGGATACCATTCGTTGTGAGGTACTTACAGCGTATTCAAAAAACCTTCATAAAAAATGAGATAAAATAAAATAAAATCGAAAGGTACCCGACGTTTTAGCTGACCACTTGGTGAGCGCGCTGTCACTTGCGCCTTTTGACAATGATCTTCCGTGGAGGAGGGTGGAGGTAACAAGTCCACTCAACTTGAAGGATCACAATGTCGATGGAACTCCTCCCGGCATGATCAGACTCTTCAGAGGCATCAGCATCTTAACAGTTAGTCCTACCTCAGAAGCAAGAGATCTGCAATCATACAAAGGTGGGTCAACATATGGAGGGGGAGGCTAGCCTCTAGATATCCTCGGATACATAAGAATGGCAATCTGATCATAGATGCCAGCTCCAGACGCATCCGAATTAGCATACTTCAGGTCCCAATTTTGGCATTTTCCTTGGCTGAAATTGGTGTACTTTGGGTATCTATTGGCTGACTTAGTGGCCTAATGGACGTAGGTGGAGCTCTGGCACCGGAGTTTGGGCAAAGAAGCTCAGAAGAGCTCCGGAAGCAGTAATAACAGTACAAAAACGTACAGAAAGACGATTCCAGGCTTGGGGAAGAAAATTTGGTATTTTCAGAGCAATTTTTACAGTTTCACGTGACATTCCTTATCCGAATTATGATTAGTGTACTTGAGGAGGCCCGGTTCATCTGTAAAACCTGGATTTTCGGCTAATAGCTGGAGAGCAGCTGACAGCGCTGTCCAGCTGGGAAAGCACTCCCAGCGGTTGATCAATACTGCTGGGAGTGCTTTCAGTGCTGGACAGTGCTCTCCAGCCAGTATCCTTGCTCTGGTGAACATCCATGTTTTGCAGATGTTCTGCAGGAGATTCTGGGGGCCTACTTGAGGCCAAAATCATAGCATAGTTCAGGCTGCCTGGGCGGATGAGGGTAGATGGGTTTTTGCATTTTGCAGGAGCTTCTGGGGTCCTACTAAGACAACCCAGAGATGTTCTGAAGACAACAAACGACTCAGCACTGCTAAGCAGTTGGAAGTTGTTAAAATGACATCTCACAACTTGACAGCACTCACTAAAGGTCGGGGTACCCTTTTATTTTATTTTATTTTATTTCATTTTTACGCTACTGACAAGGTTTTTTGAATACGCTGTAAGGAGAGCATACTTACATGAGGAGTAAGTCTGCGAACATGTTGGGAGACGCTAGCTATAGGTGAACCGAATCCTCTTCCTCATTTCTGAAATCCCTAGAACCCTGAGGATAACCTTTTGTTGAACTACATATATACATAGTTCTCCTAATGTTCAGCCGCGGGGCCGTTGCCCATTGATATTCCTCCAACGGGCTCAGTTAATATCTTCCATCTGACTCCCGAGTTCACGTCAGGTTCACGTCTGTACATGTGCATATATGTGCATATGGGTTCACAGTTATTGATGGTTACACAGATATACCCGCTTCAAGCTCCCCAAGCAACATCGTGCCATCTTTGCTTCCTGTGAGTACTGCAAATTGGCGTATTGCGGCAAAATCGAGAGTGGATGAAATGGAGAAAACGCAAGGAATAAAACGTCGTAGAATTGCAAAAAAGGGTAACAGAGATATTAAAAAAACAAAGTTAGTAAATTCGAAGCAAAAGGCAACACAAAACTCACGTATAGGCTCTTTTGGATGAAAGTCCACAGATGTTACTGTTCCTTTATGGCCTGGGAGCTGAGATGGAGAGAAGGGTTAGGTTTGGTGTGGAAAGCGAGTATGAGAAACCCAAAGTATGGTAGTAGGCATTACACTAGCATAGCACACTCGGCAATGCCTTGATACCACGTTCGCTCCGCACATAAAAAATGGGCAAACCAAGCGCTCACCTTATAGATCAACTTCCCACTCTCCACCTCCCACACACAAACCATACGATCCGCACCTCCTACCGCCACTCTCTGTCCGACCTTCCCACCATGAACTTCCTCGTCCTTCGTCCAAGCACCTCTCAGGAGCGTATTCTCAAATCCCGCAGGTGCGCCTCTTAGTACCCGGTGAATCCTCGTGGGACTAGGGCTGAAGGGTCTAATGTCGTGAATAATGACATTGGATGACATAGACGGAGACAGGAGGAAGTTGCCGTCAGGAGAGAGCGTGAGGGAGGTGGGCGTGTCGGTGTGACCGGCTAGGGAGAGGAGAGGTTGGGTACGAGGATAGGAGCCGTTAGTGGTGGCAGTAGGAGTGTTTCGGAGGTCGTATACCTGGAAGAAAATGTCGATTAGCTGATGAAATATAATAGAAATCCCCTTTCCAAATTGAAGGAGAAAATATCAGGAGGGAGTAATCTTACATGGATTTCATTATCCAAAGCCGCCACGTACACATTCTGTCCGTCTTTCGACCAACACACTCCCGTTACGGGACACCCAATATCTATTGTCGTCACTGGATGTTTTCCTACCCCTCCATCATCAGTACTGCTTTCCCAAACTTTGACCGTTCCATCGTCACTGCCTGTGACAATCAGCTCTGTCCCACTGCCGCTAGCCATCGTCCGGTCAAGAGAATTGATGATTCCCGAATGAGCGCGAACTTTTCGCACCCTCTCTCCAGTTGTCGTATCGACCACAGAGAGAAGATGATCTGCAGATACAGTATATATCCAGGGCTGGAACAATGACCATTGGAAGTCTAGCAAGGGCGCTTTTGCAAGGCTGGATATTAAGCCAAAGTTGGTGTTTGGTGAGTAAGTGTTCCAAAGAGATAGGGAGCGGTCTGAGGAGCAGGCTGCGAGGTGTAGACCTGATGGAGAGAAGCGACAAGAAAGGATTTCACCCTACGACAAAGTCTGTCAGTACATTCAAAAGGATAAGGAGATATAGATATACTGCTAACCGAATGTGCGCCCGCAAGACTGACAATTGGAGCATCTAATCCACTTGTTCGTTGTACACTTCGCATAAGACTTTTGTTTCGTGGATCATTATTCGAGGAAATAGCTATTTCCCTCGTTGTCGATGCTCCAGAACCGTCAGAAGAACTTTTGGCGCGTTTTATTAGGGCTCCTCCTCCTGGCGGGGAAACGGGACGCTTTGACATTGCGAGAGGTGTAGAAAGTGCAAAGCTTTTGTTCTTTGGCGACGATGAAGAATCAGAAGAGAACAAAAAGAAGAGCAAAAATTCCCGATGATGGTAGGGGTAGTTGAACAGCTGTCACGCTTCGTTTTCACTGGTATGCATGCAAAAACAAAAAGCAGGGCCTAACCGGGAATTGAACCCGGGACCTCGTCGAACGGATATTATCACACCCTAACAACGAATCATACTCCTAGACCATCAGGCCACATAACACCGAATGATTCGTAGGCCAAAAATCTCAAATTTCTGACATGCACACTACCCTGCGAAGATGAAACAATCCTCAACGCGGTGTTGGTTCTATGTAGAGTATACCGCACGAAAACTCAATTTGGTTCAAGAATGAAGGAATTATCTAGATTCTAAGTAGAAGGAAACTCACAATACCCAGATCAGTAGACAAATAACTAAAGCGCGATGGATATGGTTAGCTCCCAACTCTTTCGTCTCATTATCCGAAGAACACAGCTTACTTTATCGATTCCCTCGGCACTTTCCATCATGCCCACATTATCGTGGGACACGCCCTCTACCCAGTCTACAGTGGCATTCGCTGGCCATCCGAAAGTCGCATTAACCATACTGACAAAATTCTGGCCTCGGGTATAGTGCGTAGAGCCTTGTGTCTGCAAAAGATATTTGAACGTTTACAAGGATAATGGGCAGAAACAAGAAGTTTGTTCACCTCCGCCTCACATCTAGTGTCTCCATTTCCATTGTCAGCCTGTTGAATAGAAGCGTTTTGGTCAGCGAAGATATTCCCCAGCCTGATCGTGAATAGAATCACCGTTCCCCAGGCGTAATTCACAATCCGTGAATTATACAAAGATAGAATCGAATCCCGATCGAGTTGACCCCCGTACGCAGGGAAATCGCCTGCCAAGCCGTATTTGTAGTCGTCTACGCCGGAACATGACGCGTTAGGGTATGGTCGGTCGCCGGAAAGCCACATGAGTGAGCCGGGATTAGCTATGTACCCGCACTTTGTATTCAGTACGAGGAAGTTGCTGAATAGTTCAAAGATATAGGCTTACCAACCCAGAAATGAAGACGGTCGTCGTTCTTGGTTGTCTGGCGTAAGCCAGCGTAACGCTGGACAGTCTGACCTCCCGCAGAATGTCCTGCCAGAACAACAGTCTGAACAGAAAGTCAGCAGGGGGTATTCTCAATAGCAGAAACGCTCACTTTTAGGTTTGGATACACGTTCTTGTTCATATAATGCTCGATTAACGCATCGAGGGCCTTGAAGCTACTATAATCAGAGACGCCGGTAGGACCGACGTTTTCGTGCCCACTGATCCACGTCGTCATGCCCCAGATCAAAACGTCGGCCTGAGCTGCTCCAGCTTCCACATCGACTTGAGTCCAGAAGCATGGTGCCATGATAGATATTTGGGAACGGGAGATAGAGGAATTCTGATAATTAGCCAGATAAAGAGCATTATTCATAGCGTTCCAATAGTACCAGCAATCACGAGGCTATTGATTTGCGAATTTAAAATCAAATAGAAGGAGAAAGACCAGTAACGCGTACTTTCCCAGGTAGAATGATAATTGCTCTGGTCACCTCGTTCGGGATTAGCCCAGTTGTTTGATAGACAGGCTGCGATACCTTAGAAAATAAACAATCCGAGGGGTGACAAAGGACCCACCAGCATGGCCCCAGAATCATTCAACGTCCAATTTGGATATGCCGTCGCATCTGTGACTTGGGGCATTGACTGCCAGCCTCCATCTGGGCTGCCGCCAACAGCAGGATCAGGGTTGTTCTCCTGACGAACGGCGTGCTCCGCTCTCGGAGGACGGCGGTGAACATTGGCAGCAAGGGTTGACACCGCGAGTGCCAGCAAGAGTGGTATAACGATTATCATCGTTGAGCAACGAACGAACGAGAGTGGGTAAAAGAATGTAGTGCGGACGATAGGAGACAAAGGTCCAATGGGGGCGTTATGTAGAAAGAAACCAAGGGTCGCGCTATTTATTGTCTATCCTACCGCGAAATCGCTCGCGAATGCAGCAAGAATGAGATTTATACTCAATAAGGATAAGGATAAGAAATGTAAATTTCATCCGTTGAATCGTCCAAAGAAATCCGATCCGGCGGGTGAAGGGTGGATATTAAATCGGATGAGACCAAGAAGCAGCTGCATTCGGACCCGATTTGAGGCAGAACCCTAACTACAAATATCGATTGAGCAAATTCAAATGTTATTTGCGTTGTGGTGGCATGTAGTCGAGCACAAGGGAGCGCAAGAGAAAATATTGTACTGGTGGTGTGTTCAATTGTGAAACTACGGAAACTGACTAACTTACATATATTCCAGCAAATCAATTCAGTGAGCACGCCGCATATACAGGACGGGAAGCAGAAAAGGCTCCGGTGTTACGCGAGGACCAACAGGAAGCTTATCCGGCTGCTCAAAGGTTTTTCTTCCGCGCCTGGGATAGAAGGGGAAGGATCTCACTTGAGAAGAGAAGAGGACGATTAATAAGAAGGTCTTAGTGAGGTTGTGGAAGGAGTCGGGAATCATGACGTGACTGCACATCACATATCCTATCTTATCTTATCGGAAATGCTTGCATGGGTCACTTCGAGCAGTGAATCTGCAGCTGAGAAGACACTTGTAGATCTCCACCTTAGGTTGGTTCTGCAAATTCCAGTTTGTGCAACAGTACATAAGAGAGACCGCTAATACTCAAGCCAAGCTGAAATTCCCCATCTCTTGATATAACTTCATACGTATGCCCATTGATGTCAAGTTGACCAGACTCGATGTATATCCGCCACCAAAAACAAAAACAAGAGAACTGTGGATAAAACAATGTCGGCAATGTAAGAAATTGGCTCCGCGATAGGAGCTGAAGTATTTGACTCTAGTATCGTATAGCAAAATACTAGTAGGGCGCATATGTAACAACCAGCATGATCACAAAGCTACTATATCCACTTTGATTCCCAGCGAACGAAGTTCCCCTAATCGAGGATGGTTAAGCATCTTCCTAGCTTGCCCATCCGGCGCAGTGATGAATACTTCAAGAGGTGACACACTGTTACCATGGGAGGAAGAATTGAGACGAGAAGAAACACACAGAAACAGTGCCTCCATCGTATCATATTCCATCAAGACAGGTGTTGAGCATGAATGAAGCTCCAATCGATGTAGGGCGGGGAAGGGACTGCCCAATGACGATCCTGGACCCAAAGACACTGTGGTTGAACCTAAATACGAAAAGACACTTGCAACAGAAAGTGAGGATGTCTTCCCAATATCTCTAAGCACAAGTGTTTTAAGGGCTGCAGTGTTCTGAAGGCTTCCTTCTAAGATCCGCGTATGTCCTGTGATATCCAAATAACCAAGATTGAAAGCGGATCGCTTTTCAAAATCTTGGATGACGGACTTCAGTGAATCATGAGCAATGATAGATAAAGATGTGAGAGCGGGGCAAGTTATTGAGTTGAAAAATGGTTGAAGGACATTCAATGCACCTGGATCTGACTGTTCCACCACAAGATCTTGGAGACCTGGAAAACACCCACTGGAAATCAAGAAAAAACTCCAACTAGACCTTAGTTTTAATTCTCGCACTACTAGTCTTCGCAGGCGAGGAAGTAGAGGAGACATCCTCGAAACAGCCTCGCATGAAAAGTTTGAAATCGAATAATCTGTAATTTGGTTATAGAGCTTGACCGAGAGCGTAGTATTAACTTGGGTCAAACCCGCTTTGCCGATGGTCACCCACGATTTGAGGTTTGGGGCAGGTATATCAACTGCTGGCGCAGTGGACATGTCTGAGTCCTCTCGAATTCGCAACATTTTTAACAATGGAAAGGAGTCTGAGAAAACCGTGTTGATTTGATCGAATACTCGCCCTCTGCCCAGAAATAACGATTCCCATCGTCGAGAATGGGAAGACATCAGGACAGAAATGGCATATAAAGCATGATCATCCAAATTCGAACTCGAGAATATACTGAATTCGGGCATATCGAGGTAAACTGTAAGAGGAAGTGCGGCCGAACGACCCAGATACCCAGATAGAAGGGAAAGACCCAACGGAAGCCGATCGTCACCGCGCATACTTTTGGCTAATGAAAATTCACGGCGCTTCGCGTCGATTTTGACTCGTGTCCAGACTCTGGGTGTGCGCATGGCTGTCTCTTTCCAGCGACGACACACCCGACTATACGTCCATGGAGGAGAGCCAAGATCAAGAGAATGACCTGCAGAAGGGAAATATTCTCCAGGATCCGTATAAATCCCAGCACCATGTAGGAATATCTCCACCAGCAGTTCCTCAGGCATACGTCGCATAGGATTGAGTATCGTTTTTTGCCCTGAAAGTGCCTTGACAAGCTCAGCTTTGGCACCTTCAAGCTCAGCACGGAGGGCCTTCACCGAGATAATGCGAGCCTCAAGGTGATTGAGTTTCGATTGGCCGTTGCCTATGAACGATCGAAAGATATTCCCTTCGTCTTCGGTGAAGAAATCGTTGGTATGTAGGAAGTTATCGATGCGGGCCTTAGGTAGAGGAACACGTAGAGGAGCGTTATCGGATGAGTATCCACATTGTGGACATGCTTTAGTGCGCTTGGTGGTCATAACAGATGTAAATGAGATACTAACTAGTAGTTGAAACGCTGAAACAGTAGGCCAAGCGAAGAGCCGATTGAGAGAGAGAAGAAACCTACGGAGACTGGGTATCTCGAAATCAACGGTGGAGGTGTGGGATCAAGGATATATTAGTAAATAAATGCAAATTAGTGTCATTGCATGTTTTGTCAACCACAACGTATTCTGAAGCAGTCCAGCGAGCACATTTATTCTGTTCGTCTCCAACTGACATGCTTCGAGCCTTCGTCGATACATCACGACGGATTTAATCCTGCTCCGCGTCACTGAAAGAGATGGGAAGAGCAGCTCGGAGAAGACAGACCAGACACAAGGATAAGTACCGAGCTCAAAACTGGTTGGATAGATTCTGCCTTGGACCATCTGAATTCCGCCACTGGCCAGGATTGACGCCAATAACCACCTTACTAGCAATGCAAGAGCCCTTGTCTGCAGATCCCCTTTAAGAACCTCCAAAACAAGATTGACCCCACCGTAAATCCTGGGATTGTCGTATGTAGTATTTGCATTTTGCACTTGCCAGGATATTTGTGCTTTTGCTACTGAGTTTCACCATCGGAAAACTTCGTCCCTC